AGCGCACCTCCGGTAGCATGTGCTGCGCTTTCTTCACGTTCAGCGTCACACCGCGCGCGCGACACCTCTCCAGGAAGAGCCGGACACGGTCCTCCAGCTCTTCTTTGGTAGCACCACAGATCAAAACGTCGTCGACGATGCGCTGAATGCCTGGGATGTCTCTGAAGCACTCGTCCATCCTCCGGTTGAAGAATTCGGAGATCGAGCTGATTCCGAATGGAGCCCTCGTCCACATGAAACGCCCGAAGGGCGTTATAAATGTGGTCAGTGGCTGGCTCTCTTCTTCCAGCGGACACTGGTGATGCCCCTTGGAGGCGTCGAAGACGCTGAACCATCTCGCAGAGTCGACGATCGACGCCACACACTCTGCCGGGGTGTTAGACTGGTACAGTTCTCTGCGCACAGATTTGTTGAGCTTCGTGAAATCGACGCACATGCGGATGCCTCCGTCCTTTTTGGGAGCCACGACAATTGGTGCACAAAACTCTGTCGGTGTCGTCACTGGTATAATCATACCATCCTTCTCCAGTTTATCCAGTTCCTTCTTCAGGGGCTCCCTGAGAGCGAACGGAATGCGCCGAGGAGCATGAACAGCGTACGGTTGAGCGTCTTCCTTCAGAACAATCTTGTATTTCTCTCCTGGGATGATGTTGATCTTCTCGCTGAATACGTCGTTGTACTCGCGGAGCAATGCCGCCCACTGCTCCGTCGGTGCGCTGGCCGGCGCCGCCCGCTGCTCAGCTGGCCCTGGTGCTCCGGACCGCGCCGCCCGCTGCTCCGCTGGCCCTGGGGCGCCGGTCCGCGCTGCCCGCTGCTCCGCTGGCGCGCCGAGCGCCGCCGTCTGCCGCTCCACCGGCGGGCCGAACGCCGCCGTCTGCCGCTCGGATAGCGGGCCGAGCGCCGCCGTCTGCCGCTCCACCGGCGGGCCGAGCGCCGCCGTCTGCCGCTCGGCTGGCCGTGTGATTGTCCGCCGCGCCGATACCGCTGCCGTGATGTCCTGAGGAATGTTCCACTTCTGTTCGGGGTAGCCCTCTGGAATGATGCCGAGGCGCTGCGTCGTCTTCCACGACAGGATCAGACGCTTGACTCCAGGAATGATGTGGACCTGCTCGTTGACTTCGATGTCTCCCATCCTGATTGTGACCTCCACCTTGCCTATGGAGTCACAGGATCGGCCGTCGACCACCATCGGACGCACTGTTGAAGGTGTCATGCGACCACGGCCGAACGTCTCTGCAAACTCAGGGCCGGCCAGGCTGATGTCGGCTCCAGTGTCTGGAAGAGCTCGCAACTTCCCGCGCCTGGTACCGAACACGTCCACTGCAACCGTCGGCGCCGATCTGTGCTGAACACCGTTCACCGTCACCATATTCAGCTGAGTACAGTCGTCTTCACAGGCGCTCTCACCGACGGACACCGCATTGGCCCTTCTCGGCCCCAGTCTCCTGTCGCACATACGGCCCCAATGGCCGTATTCACCGCAGCGAAAACACTCGCTGTCAATGGCGGGGCAGCTGTTCTCTCCCCGGCATCGCCCGCGGCCGCAGCGGCGACAGGCCTCGCCCGGGCGATCACGTGACTGCCGGTCGGCAGCGGGCCGGGCCGCACGGGGAGGGGCGGGCTGTGCCCGACGCCGGTCCACCGGCCCAGTCCAAACGCGGTCAGTGACGTCACGGTCCGGCCGCCGACCTCGACCGACCGTGCCCGCGGGCGGCACCACCGACCGGCCACGCCGCGCAGCCGCCACGCCCGGGCCAACGCTGCCGTCCGCGATCTGAAGGGCGTCGCGCGCCGCACACTCCTCTGACCGACAAATGTTTATCGCCTCGTCCAGAGTCAGACTTTGGATGGCACACAAACGCCTGATGACATCCGCATCACGGATACCCACTACAATTCGATCGCGAATAAGGCTGTCTCTGCACCGATCACAATATCCACAGTCCCTGCTCAAGTCTCTGAGACACGTCACATAGTCGTCGAATGTCTCGCCGTCCTGTTGGATTCTCAGGTTGAATGCTCGCCTTTGCATCACCTGGCTGACTTGTCCTATAGCGTGTCGCTCCAGATTCTCGATGATTTTGCTGACGTTCTCGCCGTCTGACCTTGACAGCCCCATATTCTCGACGATATGGACGGTGTCGTCCGAGAGGCAGGATCGCAGCATCGCCAACTGCACCGCCTTGGGCTGTGCGGTCAGGCCAGAAAGTGTGACGAAGTCGGTCCATCGCGTTTTCCACGTCTTGAAGGCGGCTCCTCTGTCCACAGAGAGGTCGAGTTTATCAGGTTGTGTCAATCGACTTAACCACTGCGCTGGTAAGGCAACCACAGCACCGTGCTCACTCTCATCGTCACTAGCGGCCGGGCCCCCGCCGGGGTTCTCGTCGGGCTGCGCCATGTGTGAGTTCGCTCCGTCTCTCGTACTCGTCCGCGCTCCGTCTGCACAAACGCACTCGCTCGTGTCTAGCCGCGTACTGTTTATTGGCGCAGTGACCGGTCAGATGCTCGCTACCGGCCTGCCACCTAGCGGACACACGCAGAGCTATTAGTTAACACTCTCACAGTAACCACGTCAGTGGAGTTAGCCCTGGTCGAGCTTAACTGGACAATCCTGCCTCTGCGAATGGTAAGGTTCGTCTCTCCTGCTCTCTTCCTGGTGATAAGTTCTTCACGAACCTTCTTTGCTGCCTCTCTTTCAGCTGGTGATAGGTCCGGCGTAATGTATATGTTCCCCCACCTTTCAGAGGTCCGAAGTTGAGGGGCCAGACGGAGGATGTCCCATTTGGCACCAGGTGTCTCCAGAGTTACAATCAGCAGTCTGTCCCGGTTTGGAACTGCTTTCCCCACCCGAAACGACTTTGATACTGCTGCGCTGATATGAAACGATTCTTTGACTATTTCTCGGAACAGCCTGATGTCATGTTCTGACCTCTCACTCAGAGAGCCATCAGACCTCTCAGGAAGGTTGTGGATCACCAAGTTGTTTTTCCTCCTATCTTTGTCTAAGAAGTCATCAAAAACCTTTGACACACTCTTCAGGTCAGTGGTGTCAGGCCCACGAGCGGTGTTCTCGCTTTGAGGAAGCAGCTTGGCCGTCACTTTCTCGCACATGTCTGTACAGGTGCCTTTTAAAATCTCCGCATAGGTAGACTTCTGCTCATGGAACTCCTTAAAGGATCTCTCGATCACTTTTGATTGGGTCCCCACAGCTGCCTCCTGCTCCTTGAGGGACTGGGCGACCAGTTTGACATGATCCTTCATCGACTTTTCAAGCTTGTCAAATTTGGATTCGAGGGATGCTAATTGCTGAACATTGTAGCCCCTGCATGTACCGCTGGTCACCGCTAGGCGCGTTTACTTCCGCCGGTCGCCGCTAGATGCTGTGAACCGCGAGTTACAGTTTTGTTAATAGATGTCGCTTTTACCAGTCTCTAAATTGCTAAAGCCTTTGATTAAGTTGTGCGCCCCCCTTTTAACGTTCCGTTCGCTTAAACTGCTGTATTGTTTGGACAATTGTATTGGCTATGTGTATATTAAAAAACATATGTATTCGTTTATTACATTCGATGTTCTCGCCAACATGTGTGCAATACTAGATAAGTAAGTTCGTATGTAAAATTATATATGTCTCGATTTTGTGGCGAAATAGAAGAGATATCTGTAACTAACAGTGTTTCTACTGGCTACACCAGCCAGATTAGTGACCCCGCGTTCTACGCACTAAGGGATCGCTATCCCCTCGTGTTCCCAGTCACACCGACACTGGCCTGCACCCTGAGCTATCTCCTCCAGCTCTCTTTGTGTAGGAAGGAAGTGGCGGATGGTGTGTCTCCACGAGGATCCTTTTTTGTGCTGTGTGAAACTGGATGACGCCGACTACTACTGCTGCACTACGGACCAGCTTCTTCATCGGCTCACCTTACCGTCCGGCTACCTCTGCAGCTGCACCGCAGCACCTGCCGATCGCCGTGTCGCCGTCGCCGCCACCGATCTTCCCGACCATTGCTCTCGGCAGCCATGGACCAGAAGACCCAGCCTGCCGGCGCCGGTGCAGCCGCCGGCACCGGTGCAGCCGCCGGCGCCGGTGCAGCCGCCGCCGCCGCCTCGCATGCCGCTGCTGCTGCTGCTGCCGCTGCCGCCCAACCGGACTACCTCCGCGTGGCGACCGCGCCACGCAGCCACGTCGCGCCGCCGCGCTTCTTCGAGGAGGACCCCGTGATCTGGCTCGTCCAGCTCGACCTCTTCTTCTCTCAGGCAGCTGTGGACGATGAGCTCAGCCGCTTCCGGATCGCCGCTACTCTCCTTCCTGGCCACCTCCTGCGCGACTTCACCGACATCCTCCGCAACCCTCCTCCAGACCGACCTTACACCATCCTTTCCGACGCCATCCGTCAGCGGTTCGGCAAATCAGTCGAACAGCGTCTTCGCTGCCTGCTCTCTGGCCAACAACTCGGCGACAGGCGTCCTTCCCAATTCCTTCGGCATCTCCTGGACCTTGCTGAAGCTGAAGGCTCACAAGATTCCCCGCTCATCCGCCAGATCTTCCTCAATGCTCTTCCGCCTCGGACTCAGCCCTTCCTCCAGTGCCTGCCGCCTGGGACGGACCTTGCGACCATCGCTAGCACTGCCGACCGACTCCTGGAGCTTCCGCAGCAGTCGGACGTCGCTGCACCTACCTCAGGCCTTCTCGCCGCGGTATCGACTTCTGCGTCTGCTGCAGCCTCACCTGCTGCTCCTGCAGGACCCTTCCACCTCCAAGACCTGATGAGCCAGCTGCTGACTGGTATCACGGCCCTCACAACATCAGTCGCCACACTGGTGGACGAGACGCGCCGCCGAGAGAGATCAGCATCCCGTGCCCCCGGCCGCGCTCGCCACCGTCCACCACGCGACCTGTCTGCTGCTGCTGCCCGGTCACCCAGCCCTGCAACCAACACATCTACCGGCGCTGGTGCTTCCTACTGCTGGTACCACCACAAGTTCGGTACCAACGCGCGCTCATGTCAGTCACCGTGCTCGTGGTCTGCAACCGCAACTCAGGCCTCGGGAAACCAGCAGTAGGACAGGTGACACAGACGTCTGCACCTGCCCTGCTCAACCCTGACGTCCCTCCAGCCAGCGGCCTTCTGAGACTCAAGGACAACAACACTGGCATCACCTTCCTCATCGACACTGGAGCCGAGTACAGTGTTCTTCCAGCGACACCCACCGATCGTGCTCGCGGAACCAACGGACTGGATCTGCAAGCAGCCAACAACAGCAGCATCCAGACCTATGGTCAGCGCATGCTCACGCTTTCTCTCGGCCTCAGAAGAGACTTCAACTGGATCTTCATCATCGCGGACGTCTCCCATCCTCTCCTAGGAGCCGATTTCCTCTCCTCGTATGATCTCCTCGTCGACACCAAGAGAGGCCGTCTCATCGACCACCTAACTGAGTTGTCCTCACCTGCTTCCCACTCCTCAGTGCCATCCACCGGACTGACAGCCGTCGTCGGAACCGACAACCCAGCATTCCTTAACCTCCTTCGAGAATTCCCCAGCCTCACCCAGCCGTCACATCATCCGGAGCCACAGCACTCAGTCCGACATCACATCGAGACTACCGGCCCTCCGGTCTTCTGCCGCCCACGCCGTCTGGATCCAGCTCGACTCGCCACTGCCAAGGCAGAGTTCCAGCGCCTCCTCAGTCTCGGAGTCATCCGACCCAGCAGCAGTCGGTATGCATCACCGCTGCACATGGTGCCCAAGTCGTCTGGAGATTGGAGACCCTGTGGAGATTACCGTGCACTGAACCGCATCACAGTGCCTGACCGGTACCCACTACCACATCTCCATGACTTCACTGCCTGCCTCGCTGGGACATCGATCTACTCTCGGCTCGACCTCGTCAGGGCCTTCAACCAGATACCGATGGCCCCAGAAGACATCGCCAAGACAGCGATCACAACGCCCTTCGGCGCCTTCGAGTTCCTCCGCATGCCGTACGGTCTCCGGAACTGCGCTCAAACCTTCCAACGGTTCATGGATCACATCCTCCGTGGCCTGGACTTCGCCTTCGTCTATGTAGACGACATCCTCATCGCCAGCAGCAGCATCTCGGAACATCTCATACATCTCCGAGAGGTCTTCAGCCGTCTTTCCCGCAACGGTGTGCTCCTCAACCCATCGAAGTGCGCCTTCGGCATGGAAAGCATCTCCTACCTCGGCCACCAGATCTCCAGCGGAGGCATCACTCCTCTCGACGATCGAGTCAGCGCGATCAAGAACTTCGACCGTCCAGAGTCAAAGAAGAGCCTCAAGAAGTTCCTGGGGATGATCAACTTCTACCATCGCTTCATCCCACACGCTGCTGCTCTTCTGGCACCTCTCCACGGCCTGACTGCCTCAGACGACCGAGCTGCTTCAGTCACGTGGACCCCAGAGGCAGACGCCGCCTTCTCTGCCGCCAAAGCCGCCCTCGTTGACGTCACCCAGCTCGCTCATCCCGTCAAAGATGCAGCTCTGAGCCTCAGCACTGACGCCAGCAGCACGGCAGCCGGCGCCGTGCTCCACCAGCGAGTTGGTGGTTCTCTTCAGCCTCTCGCCTTCTTCTCGCGCAAGTTCACGCCCACCCAACGCCGCTACAGCACCTTTGGACGGGAATTGCTCGCCATGTACCTCGCCGTGCGACATTTCCTGCCCTATCTGGAAGGACGCGACTTCGAGATCCTCACGGACCACAAGCCGCTCGTCTTTGCTCTCAAGGCCAACGGCAATGCCAACCATTCTCTCCGTGAACAACGTCACATGGACCTGATTCTGCAGCACACCAGCAAGATCGGACATGTTCCTGGACACCTCAACCCGGTAGCTGACGCCATCTCACGGATCAGCTCAGTGTCTGCGCCAGCTTCTGCCGCAGCCACACCTTCATCCGGCCTTCTGAGCTTGGCCGACATCGCCCTACACCAAGCCAACGATCCTGACCTGCCGAAGCTGCAACAATCCTCATCTCTGGTCATCCGTGACTTCCCAGTCCCTGATCATCCGCATCTACGTCTCTGGTGCGACACCTCAACGGCCACACCTAGACCTGTAGTCCCAGCCAGACTCCGTCCTTCCATCATCAAGAGCTTCCACGACTTGTCTCATCCTGGCATCAACGCTACGCGTCATCTCATCTCATCGAGGTTCATCTGGCCCCACATCAACGCGGACATCCGTGCCTTCGTCCGGAGCTGCCAGCACTGTCAGCGTGCCAAGATCCAGCGCCACACGAAGCCACCCATGGGCAGCTTCCAGCCACCTGACTCTCGCTTCCTGCACATCCACATCGACCTTGTCGGACCACTTCCTCCGTCCCATGGCAACTCATATCTCCTGACTGTCGTCGACCGCTTCACCCGATGGCCCGAGGCAATTCCTCTGCCCACCATGGACGCGGTCACAGTGGCTCGGCATCTCGTCAGCGGCTGGATCGCCCGCTTCGGAGTACCCGAACTCATCACCACCGACAGAGGATCCCAGTTCGAGTCCCGCCTCTGGACAGAAGTCTCCAAGCTTCTCGGCACCTCTCGGATCCGGACCTGCGCCTACCACCCAGAAGCAAACGGGATGGTAGAGCGCTTCCACCGCCAACTGAAGTCAGCTCTGCGGACCGATGACGACGCCGCCTCCTGGTCGGACCGACTTCCTCTGGTGCTACTCGGAGTGCGCACGGCCCTCAAGGAGGATCTCGGATGCACCGCTGCAGACCTAGTCTATGGTTGCAGTCTCCGACTTCCTGGTGACTTCCTCTCCCCCATGTCGTCGGACACTTCTTCTGATCCGGCTTCCCTAGCCTCTCGTCTCCGTGCCGCCATGTCGGAGCTCCGTCCAACTCCTCCTCGTCCTGGCTCCCGCCAAATCTTCATCTCTCAAGACATGCAAACCTGCTCCCACGTCTTCATCCGACGCGATTCGCATCGCTCTCCTTTCCAATACGTCTATGACGGTCCTTATCGCGTCATATCCCGCGACCAGCACACCGTCACCATCGACCGTCTCGGGCGACGCGACACCGTCACCCTGGCTCGGTGTAAACCGGCCTTCACGGACAACATGCCTGCCGCAACGCCGCCTGCAGCACCGGACGTCCTGGTGAACGACACGCCTCCTACGGCGCCAGACAGCTCGGTGGACCGCCCGCCTACTGCACCCATCCGCTCAGGTGCTCCCGGCGGCTCTCGCCCGGCTCGCCGCGTGCCGCCGGACCCGCCGCCTGCTTCGCCGCCCCCTCTCCGCCGTTCGTCGCGTACTCGCCGCCAAACTTCTTTTTATGGTGTTTAACTAGGGCGGGGGAGTGATGTAGCCCCTGCATGTACCGCCGGTCACCGCTAGGCGCGTTTACTTCCGCCGGTCGCCGCTAGATGCTGTGAACCGCGAGTTACAGTTTTGTTAATAGATGTCGCTTTTACCAGTCTCTAAATTGCTAAAGCCTTTGATTAAGTTGTGCGCCCCCCTTTTAACGTTCCGTTCGCTTAAACTGCTGTATTGTTTGGACAATTGTATTGGCTATGTGTATATTAAAAAACATATGTATTCGTTTATTACATTCGATGTTCTCGCCAACATGTGTGCAATACTAGATAAGTAAGTTCGTATGTAAAATTATATATGTCTCGATTTTGTGGCGAAATAGAAGAGATATCTGTAACTAACAGTGTTTCTACTGGCTACACCAGCCAGAACATCCACATCCTGCGTGTGAACTCTCAGTTTCTCTTTCAGGAAGCAATCCTGATCCTTAAGGACCTTTGTCATGGCTTCCATCTGGATACGCACAGCGGTATCAAGGTCACTGAACTTTCCCTCGAGAATAGCAAGTTCCGAATGCCGAGATTTGCCCTTTTTTAGATATGCTTTGCAGCACGCACACAACCAAGCAAGCGATTCGTAGCGATCAAGAGCCCTAGCTGCCGGTTTTGGAATCCCTTGACAGACAGCATGGAACCAGTTATGGCAGTAATCACACATAACTGCCATTTCACCATCCTTCACAGGGTTTCCACAGATTTTCTTACCTGGGCCCCCATTGCAGATTGCCCCCTCACTGCCAGTATCGCTAGATGCGCGCGACAGAGAACTAGTTGATCCTTGGCCAAATGGAGCATACACACTGTCTGCTAGTTTACGTACGAGTGAGGGTGGTTGCTTTGGGTTTGTGTCCATACCTGTATCAATCCTTGAGACGTTTTCCAATGCGGCACACTCCTCACCCAAACCTCCTTCAGATGCCACGCTCTTATCATTCGCATCCCCTGTCTCGGTGCCGGTGACCTTCGAGGGAGGCCTTTCTGGCGACTTTCCATTTCGACGTTTTTCTTCTTGTTCAGCTGTTGGTGTTCTTCGTTGCAAAATAGGCGAGTGTCCCACTGGCATTTTGTTACACGTAGAACTATTCAGAAAAGAATATATATTTTCTTGATTACTGTCACTTTAGTATCCCTAACGTTTATCTGGGAATCGATGGAAAGGAGGAAACAAAGCAGTGTTGGCTTTCCCGCCAAAAGTGGCAGGGAAATCAGCTGATCAGCGAGGACAGGCAGGAGCTCGATGGGGCACGTCCGTTCGCCACGAAATCCCGAACTGAACTCTGCCAAAGTTACTAATGCCAAAGTTTGATTATGATTACTGGGCAAGGCACCTGGCCTTGCCACTCCCTGGCCATTCAAACCCATTGTCATAGATACTAGTTAAAACCAGTGATTTATGATCTGAGTTGATGTTACTGCGTGGTACACTGAATATCAGTAGGCGGAACTATGGTCAAGCGTACCCATTTTCGGGAACGCATTTTCGTTCCCATGTTTGGGAACGATAAACCCAAATATGGGAACGCCATGTAGGCATTATTTAAAACAAGAAAAAGAACCGTTAAATGACGTCCAAAAAATATAAAACGATCGTGAACCGCCTGATATTTGTCTCAATATTGATGGGAAAGAGTTTGATATTGTAAGGCCCATCGTAGTTTCAAATCGTTCCCCTATTTCTAAAGCAGTCCATCATCCGGGCCGCGAGCCCAAATTTGGGAACGCTCTCGTACACTGGCGCTGCAAGCGTTCCTTATTATGGGAACGGCGTACCCAAAATTGGGAACGATTTCACCGACGCCTTTCAGGGGCTCTTTTCATTAACAAGCATCACGTCCAACGCCGCAAATTATTGTTAACGCAACAATCATCAGATGACCTTTCCGGCAAGACCGTCGCATGTTTCGCCCGGTCTTCTGCGCTTTTATCCCGTCGATCTCGCAGCGGGCACGCCCCCCCCCCCTCTGCAGGATTACGTAATTCACAACGCTCAGCGATGTTCAACAAGGTCTTCCATACCTATATCCACCGTCCGCGCTGAGGGTGGAGACATGTCAAGCACCTGTCTGTTTATCACCGATAGTTGACGAGTACAAGGAAGTATCCAAAAATGGGAACGCTGAATATGTTACACCCTCAAAACACCTAGTCCCAATGAAAATCTAGTTTTTTCCTTTCTTGATGAGTGTAAGTGGCAAAAGGCCTGGTAGGATGGGCACGAGGAATTATCGAAATCAGCATAAAAATTATAAATAAGCCACACAGAGCGAGCTATATAAGAGAAATTCCCCCAAAACGATCACGCTTAGAAACACGGAAGACAAAAACCACGCTCATGACGCTCCTTATAAAACAACTCTAAACAGCTAGCATCCAAATAAAATATGTCTTTCCGGGATGATAAAATACAGCTGGATAATTTTCAACCGCTTAAACTGAGTTTACAACAGTAGCTCGGTAAATTCACTCACGTTCCACGCGGTCGTCCGCCCCGACACAAAAGTCAACAATATTACCTCGGGACCGTTCGCGTCTTCGCTTGCATTTGTCAACATCTGGTGTCGATAGTATGAAAGTTCATAACCAGGCGAAAATTATTATACTTTACCTCAAACTAAAAAATGCTTCATTTTCCTTAAAATTGCATGTTAAATGTCGTATAACCCATATTTCCACCATTCTGTCATTTTCAAAAAATCATTAAAAATATCATTCCACGGTCAATTTCCTTGTTCCACGGTCAGATTAAAGATAACTTTATGGAGATTTAGTAGATACTTAAATCAGCGTGCACTTTTTTGAGACGTGATGCACTTTTGAGTTTTAGTGGGAGAACGGCCGAAAAATTGCCTTCCGTTCTCATAAATGGGAACGCCCGTTCCCATATTTGGGAACTCCGTTCCCAAAAATGGGAACGTTCCTATATTTGGGTACTCATGACCATAGTTCCGCCTACTGATATTGTGCTTAATCCAAATCTTTTGGACTTGAATTTTAATTTACTACTGCAAATTATTTCAATGGAATATCACATAGCAAATATAATGATCCTGACTGATATCAGACATTAATTTGAAACAACAAGCAATACAATAGTAGGATGAAATCTTAACAGCGCAATTATTACACATAAATCACACAGCATGCATAGGACAAGGAGCGTTGAAATTGAAATATAAAAAAGGCAATCACAACTTGAGCTGAGCACTCTTATATTCAACCTTCACTCACCGGAGAAAATAGGAAGCAAAGGCAGCGTCTATCAGAAAATTACAAGTCCTTCCTTCACCCACCTACCCCACCCCTAACCCCGCAAAATTAAACCGGTTTCCACCCCACCTACCCCCCAGCATGCCCGTGTAAAATGTAAACACCAAAAATTTTCCATCGCTCAGCTGTCGTTACCAAGGCAACCGCCAGCCACAGCACGTGGTTTTCAACCAATAGGATGCTCAGTAGAGCCGGTAGAATCGGAAAACCGGTAGACGCCCACGGCTAGAGCGGAAGGCCTCGATGCCAGCGCCGCGCTGCGGGCGTCGTGTAATCTCCGTCCGGCAGCGTTCGTTGGAGGCCGAGCGAGCAGTGCAGCGCGATGGACCCCGAACTGAGAAATACCGCTCTCCTTCTGGCGAAGGGGAACAACGCACAGTTCGAGTTTGTGTACAAGTTATACCCTCAGTCACTAGCCTTGAAATCACAGTCCAAGAATAAGAAGCCGGAAGAACTGAAGAAGCTCGACCATTGGTAAGGAGCCTCGCTAACTGAGCGAGTCATTGAACCTGCTTTGTGTGCCGCCCGCGAGTGTGTGAGGAATGCTTGTTTGTCCGCCGGCTTGCGCCCCCTTTTTGATTGTGGCGCCACGGGTCGCACGCTTGGCACCGGCGTGCAGTCTGGGAATCGGCTGGTGGGGCGGGCTGTTGGTGGTATACCAGGCAGATCGACTTCCGTCGCGCGCTCGGGCGTTGGGGAGCGTGTCCTTGAGCTGGAAAACTTTGCTGAGAAGCAGACCACGGCCAGTTCTGAGCGGGGACTTCACCCATATATCCTATTCAGGTGTGTGCATGATGGGTGTTATTAAGAAAGCTGTTATGATTTTGATATTGGGTGGGAGCATCGGGTTTTAATGATGGTCGCTGACGCACAGATGGGTTGTGAAACAAAATGGAGACAAAGAGCCGCCAGAACGGTTCATATCTCCCGCGCTCTTTTTCGTGTCCGCTTTGACGGCTTGAAACTATGATGGGTTCAGTCATGATTGGAGAGTGACATATGTGTCGATGCCAAAAATTACCCGTACCTATCCATTTTTTTTCACGAGCAGGGGCCTGCACAGAACTTATTTTCAGAATTATCTTTCTAAGACTTTTTCAATTTCATTACCGTCGATTTTAAAATGAATTAGGTACCAAAGTTACTTTGGGCTAACGATACACTGTCTCATTTTAAGAAAACTCAGTTGTGACTGACAACTTCTAAGTTCTATTTATAGCTGTTCACCACCCTACCCTTACCTGACCGACTAAATCAAGACCATAGGTTTACATAGCCTTGATCAAGACTAAATGGCTCGCGCTGTGTCGGGACAGCTGGGGCTGATTTTGACCTGCCCCTCGCGGGACACCTCTCGCTGGGGATCTGTCCGCGAATTGTTATTGGTATATTGGGACGACTGCTCTCCCCACAGGAAAAAGTTCGGGAGGCGGAGGTAGGGAGAGTTGGTCGGCCATGGGTCACCTGGGTCAGCAGGGGGCCGTGGGCGCGAGATTATGCGCTCCACAAATGGTCCCTTCTGAGACCAATGGTCATGGGTCAGTGGTGAATGGTCAGTGACTGGTCACACTCACAGCTGCTGCGCGCGGGGTAGCACCGTCCTGCTGGAACCATTGAGTGGTATAGACTGGTATGCTTTTTACTATTTGTACGGTCAAGGTCACATGCATGCTGTGTACTCTGTGGGTGTAGATCAGATGAGATTTTCCTCGGGGTGTTGGCTTTTCAGCGCCACCCCATCAATTGTGTCGTCTTATATTCCATCGGTTAGTGTCTTTTCACATCAGGTGCCCGCATATTTCCGTTGCAGTGTTGAGCAGGAACCGTTTTATGATGGCATGCTACTTTTCCAGTCATTGTTATTAGCATGTGGCTGTGATTTTCGGCATCAGCACTTCTGAACTCGCCAATCTTGACGTTCGTTTGGAATCGTTTTTTTTTTCAAGAAATTTTGTCCGAATGGGTGAATGGGTGGCTGTGGGCCCGGGTGTCCCGCTAAATTCATCAAAAGCATTGGTGGTGTTATCTGGAGAAAAAAAAACTGTTGGAAAATGATCGCAGTAAACGGTCGCGGATTGATTTTTATGTGACGCAATGCAAAGATATGCTGCAACGTGGCCGTGGCGACTGGAGAAGTAATGGTACCTTTTGGATGTTTCTGATAAGAAAGGCTTTACGTTTTTCTTCGCGGACCGTTATCATTGGCTGCGCAAAATACTGTTTTGAGTATATAGAACTTCGCGCCTGATTATAATTATTGTCTAATACAAAGCAACCAGCGTTGGCTCAGAAACAAGGCTCTTGAGAGCGATTGACTTATAGCCATGCTATACATCAAAATTGACAGAGCATGGCAGTACCCTGTGGTCATTTTCGGCCATCTTGTTTGGGACTCCACATTTTTTCTTCTCGGGACGTGCAAAATTGATGCCGAAAAGGGTAAACAAATCTTGGTGGCCCTACTATATAGTAGGTAAGCTTTTGTTAAGAGATATGGAGGAAAGAGGGCATGTGGCCTTTTCACCCCCCCCCCCCCTCTTACGGTATGCGGGATAAGCAATAAGCATTTATGGGAAAGGGAATGGAGGATTTTGATTCCTCTTCCTCGTTACATCTGTTTTTGGAACTGCAAACGACTTCGCTTACCTGACACCCACCGCGGCTATTTACCATGGGAAGGTGTCAATAGGGAGAATTCCGAATCAGGTTCTGAGAATTATCCACGTGCGGAGGAAGCCGAGACCACCGAGGCAGCTTTTTGTGACCGGCTAAGGCTTACGTTTTTACCGCGCTGGCTCAGCGACTCCTGATGGCAGCGAATATACTGAGGCTGCGCTGACCAGTTTGATCAACAGAAAAAAATCGCCGGCTGCGGCTCTTCTTAGACCTAGAAGTAAAGTCTCTCATAAGCTTCAACTACATCGCGAAAGATAACTTTGAAAACATAAGCCTGGCTTGTTTTATTTTTATTCATATTAGCGCTTACTTTTCGCGCTGCTGGCGAAATTCGAGGCCACTTTTGCTAAGACCTGGCGCAGCCGGTGATTTATCTGTTGATATGACTGGCCCCTGGTCCCTTTCCGCCCATTGCAGGTCGTTTGATAGGGTCTGTGCTCATTTGATAGGGTCTGTGCCGTCTTACATGTTGATCATACGGCAAAGCTCTGTCACGGTCAGAGCTGGTCGGTTCCGTCTGGTGCAGGGAACTGGTTTCCGTCGACTTTTTCATGTGTGTCGGTATTAAGGATATGATCGCGGGATGTTTGGATCCTGGTTCAGAAAGTCGATGGTGATAAAAATATTATGTTCCATTTTGATGTAATCTGCATGTTTTGGCTACGTTTTCATATGAAATGCACGCATTTCGCTTTGCTGCATATTTCGCATGATTTCATTTTCCATGAGTGCACCCGCTCAGCACTCTCGTCATTTTACGAACTCTGGTTATACACGTCGCCTGCCTGCTGCATTAGCGTTGTGCGACACTTGGGAAGCCGCTTGTGTTAGACCGGTCGGGTGGTTACCATACCTACGAGACAGACTGTCCGGGATGTTGGTACTCCCCTCCTGTCTGACGCACGAGGCCGTCGGGGAAGTATATAATTATACAGTGCGCCTAGCCCGCAGTAGCGGCGGAACACTTTCAATGAGGGGGGGGGGGGCACTGCCGACTTTTGGTCCCATTCTTTCCATGCAACGTCCATAGGGCTAATGTTTAAATGCCAAAATCAAAGGGGGCGCGGTGCTCCCCAGCCCCCCCCCCCCGTTCCGCCGCCTATGCTAGCCCGGAATCAGACTTAAGGTTTCAACGACAAGCCATAGAATAGTCGGTAACACCAAGTAAAGGAGAAATTGAACCGACGTTTTTTTCATTCCTCATTACATTTAGCCTTCCTTTACTATGGCGCAATGCTGGCACATATTGGTGTCATTTTTAATCTCCAGACATCTTTAAGTTTCAATAAGATTCATTGGAACGCTATATAGTACGGCTTGTTCATTGGCCAGGGGTAAAAATATGTGAACCCATCGGAAACATCTGGGGACTGGGACATTAATCGATCTTAGATATGCTGGTTTTGTATCCACTTCACAATCTCGGGAGCGTTGACCTGTCTCTTGACACAGACGGCTGATCCCCGCGGCCGGCCCGTCCTCCGGCGTTGTCGCCCTGTCGTGCTGCTCTCCCCGACCTTCACCTTGGCCCATGTCGGCGCCCCGGGGCGCCCCTCCCAGGTAGGGGCGCCCACCCGTCTGGCGACAGCTCGCCCCGCGTGCCACTTCCTGGGGAGTTGTGCAATCTGCAGTCAGCGAACCACACGGAGCGCCGGCCGCCGGGCGGAGCCAGTGCGGCATGCAAACCAACGGGACCGCGCGCCCGGCGGCCGGCGGGCCCGTCTCTGCAGGCGGCTGTTAAAGTCCGGCTAGCTCTGCAGCTGATTCTGGGATCCGGGTATCACTGCTGCAGCAGCTGGTACTCTTCTGCTGCTATCACTGCAGCTGGTGCTCTTCTACACCTTTTTGCACTCAAAATAGGCATCTTTTCATTCAATTTCGGCGAATTGCATTCAATTTTAGCGATCTCTCTATTCGAAGCAAATGAGAGATCGCTAAAATTGAATGCAATTCGCCGAAATTGAATGAAAAGATGCCTATTTTGAGTGCAAAAAGGTGTACTGCTATCAGTTATCACTGCAGCTGGTGCCACGGCCCGGCTCTGTTTCAGTTTCTGCAGCTGGTTGTTAAAGTCCAGCTAGCACTGCAGCTGGGACTCCAGTCCACTGCTGCTGCACTGCTTCAACTACAGCTGATTCTCCGGCCCGGCTGATTCTCCGGTCCGGCTGCTTTTCGTCCGGCTATCTTCGCGGATGGTCCGCCAGTCCTGCACGCAACTCTGTGGTCCGGTTATCTCTGCAGTTTTGCGGTCTGGCTATCACTACAGCTGATCCTTCAGCCCGGCAGTTGCGGCTCCGGCGACGGCTGCAGCCTGATCGCCGTCATTTGCAGACGACATATCCAGAAATCATCGCTGGTCCCGGCTCGAACTCATCGCCGGAACGCGAGTCGCCCTGTCGGACGGGCTGTTCAGTGTGGGACTCCGGAGAAACTTGCAGCCCAACTGTGAAAAGCTCTGAATCATTGTTACGATCGCTGGTATTTTGTGTGATCAAAGCGGCATTGTTTGGCGGTCATTGGGTTCACTATGAGGTGTAGAGCAGTAGTATTACGCTCCTTGAAGCCAGGACATGATGTAGTACCGTTGTGTTTATCGTATCGGGGGGAAGTCCCCGACTTCTGAGTTCTGATATCGACTGCGGAACTCGGTGTACCGCGCTATCGGCGGTGTATTTCTGATAATCCCCCACACCTCTGCTTCGCGGGGGTGCGCGGAGACGGCTGCTATGTCCCGGTAGTGACCCGACCCGACACGCTCAGTCTTCCGTCTCCCACGGGGCAGCTCTTTGTCTGTCGGT